CTCCCACCCAGGCACACTGCAGGGTCCCACGGGCTGACCACCCCTGCAGTGCCCGCCCCACCTCACCTCCTCCCCAGCGCAGGCACCGCGCCAGGTCATTGCCTGTTCCCAGGGGCAGCACAGCCACCGGAGGGTGCTTCGCCAGGTTCGCCTTATCTGCAGTTCAAGGGGGAAGAGAAGTTTGGGGCTGACAGAGCTCATTCCCTGCTCCTCTCCATGTCCCTCCTCGGCCAGCAGCCCCGGGTGATGCTGTTGGCAGGACTCCCACCCTGCTTTCACTGGGGGAATATCAGAACTTGCAGCAGATCCCCAAGGATGCAGAGAGACTATGCTCTGAAGGAACACAGCCGTCCCTTGCTCACCTATGCTGTCCAGGATCCAACCCACCGTGCCATCCCCTCCGCAGGCCAGAACACGGAAATCTGGAGTGTCCCGAAAGAAGTTCAGCCTGCAGAAAGTCAGGAGAGACAAGGGGTGATGCGGGGGAGCAGGAGCTGGGGGAGAAGGCAGAGGATCACATGCAGCATCTCCATACCCCGGTGCGGGCCCACCACGGTCCAGGTTGTACACTTGGCGTGGGTTGAGCAGGTAGTGAAACTTCCGAAGGACCCTGGGAAGGGAGAGGCATGAGGAACACCATGGAGGTGTCCCACACTGGCAGTGATGCCTGAGGGACCAGCAGCCCCCAGCCCCAGGGGGATGCTCTCCCTGGGCAGGACTCCACCTACCGCTCCCCTTGCCTTCCTCCGCTCTTGGGGTTCACCAGCACCAGGAGTGGGTGAGTCCCGGGCCGAGCACTGATCTGGAGGGCAGAAAAGGTGGCTGTGAGCTCCTGCCTGCTGCCAGGCTCAGTGGCAGAGCTCACCTGCAGCCTGGCACACGAACCTACCTGCAGTCCTTGCCCATCCACCGTGGTGGAGTTGAACTTGAAGGCCTGGGTTTCCTCAGGACTGGTGCTGGCAGGGGAGTCACTCTCTGATCGTCGGCAGTGGGACTGCCTGTCCTTTGGGGTAGCCACACTGCCCAAACAGGCAGTGCTGGCAGCAGGGTCAGCCTCAGTGATGCCCTGCTGGGTCCCTATCCCCAGCAGCAAGGAGGGAGTCACTTACCAGGACACAGAGGACACTTACCAGGACAACTGGGCAGATGTAGGATGGCAGCAAGATGTGGTCCCGCAGTGGGCCCCCGTCGCACTCCGGCTTCACGTGGGAGGCACATTTGTTGTGGAGCTGGAGGGGTGGAAAGAGGGGATATTGAGCAGAGGACACCTGCCCTCTCCTGCTCGTGAGCCTCTCCTGCCCAGGTGGCCACACAGGGAGGGCCCCAGGCCCTGTGCACTCACTGTGACTTGGCACCAGACGCAGTGCAGGCCGGTGATGCCCTGGTAGCACTTGATGCTCTTGTGACATCTGTCGCACTTGACAGGGGAATTGCCCTCGATCCAGGTGTGCTGCATCACCTGCAAGGCATGGAGGGGCCCTGCAGGCACGGAACCCACTGACATCTCCCTCCTGCTAAGGGTGGCTTCTCCTTGCAGGGATGCTGACTGATCCAAGCCAGTCCCTCCCATGGCCGCCTTCCTGCTGCTCCGTACAGCACATCAGGGACACCTCTCCCCCACCCAGAGCCGTGGCAAACCTCGGGGCTGGGGTCCTACAGGTGCCTGGGGACAGGGAACATCCTGCCAGGCTTTGGGTGCTGGGAATGCCCGTGAGCTGCGACGGGCAAATCCCAGGGGAAAAAGCTGTGGGGGACCAGAGCAGGAGACTGAGGGGCCAGGAGATCCACAGGCTCAGAAGTGCCTACTCACGCTGGCGTTTCTCTTGGATTTAACGTAGGTGCTGATGCAGGAGGCAATGTCTTTGGACACACACCTCTCATGGACCGTGTACTTGCAGACTGGTGAGAAAGAAGAATCACAGAGCCACAGAATCATTTAGGTTGGAAAAGCCCTCCAAGACCATCAAGTCCAACCATTAAACCAACACTGCCAAGGCCACCTCTAACCATGTCCCTAAGCACCACCAAGAAGGTGGTGAGCACCAGTCCCCAGCATGGGTGCTGCCTCCTCCCTGCCTACCCCGCAGCACCCACAGGGCTCAGCACGAGCAGGGACCAGTGCCCCCTCCC